CAGTTAATTCTAGTGGTCGACCAAAAATTTTAAGAGATCGCGACACACGCAATGTGGCCAACTTGCTCTCGAGCAACCGCCACATAACGCCAGTAAAACGGCGGCGATGCTTAATTTAAATGCCAGTGCTTGGTTAATTCGACGCAGTCTTGATAAACTAGGCCTGAAAGCAAAGAAGATTAAAAAGAAACCAGCCCTGACAAAAAAGCACATCAGTTTGCGCGAAAACTTTGCTGTAACTCATGAAAATCTGACTATAGCGGACTGGGATACTGTAAGTCCCGGTAACTTTCGTCTTAAAAATGAAAACTATTCCAAAATTTTTGAGTTTTCGAGGTTATATAGTCGGACTAAACAAAAATTGATCGATTTGAGTCAGATGGTCGTTCCTGGTATTGAACTAGAGACCCCACCAAGTAATGTGCGGCAGACCGTCAAGCACGGTTGCGGCTCGATTATGGACTGGGGGTGCGTTCATGAAAACGGAGTTGGTCCGCTGGTGTAAATCGATGAAATAATGCGGACGGAACAATATTTAAGCATATTACAAAAAAAAACTTCCAGTAACCATCGAAAATTTTGGTCTTTCTGTTGAAAAATGCATTTTTCAGCAAGACAATCCCCCAAAGCATTCGTCCTATTTGGTCCAAAATTTGATATCAACACAAAATTTTCAGTGTATAAAGTGGCCACCACAATCTCCATATATAAATCCAATTGAAAACCTATGGAGTCATGCTAAATCGCAATTCGCGAAATATGAAGTTCCTCCAAATGGAATGATGGAGCTTTTGGAGAGGACAAAGGACGTTTGGTACGCTAGTCCACCCGAATTTGTGCTACGCTACACCCAGAGTATGCCAAATTTCATAGGAGAACTTAAAGAGTCTAATGGACAGTGGACACATTATTAAAAAAATTATTAATAAAAATATTTGATCGAAAATAACAAGAGTGCAAAACTGTAACATTTGACATTTTTTACATTTGGCTTCAGCATATGTTTCTACCTCTATCGAATGACTTCTAATTTTTATGAAACGTAGTGTATACACATACCAACAAAACAAGATTAAGATTTTTAGAATCTATACATTAGAACAGAAGTTATGGACCTTTGAAGTTCGAGTATTGAACTTGTGTTACAGTTTTGCTCGTCAGTGTACATAATGAACCGAAGAAGCTAAGGTTCATTTCAACTCCAAAGAGATTGTACAAAAATATTTTTTAAATATTATAATATATTGTATCAAACCAACTTTTGGAAACCTCTTTTTTTTTAAGAATGAGTATAATATTATTCTATTGCAGAAAACACGGTATTCTTTCGTATTTCTTTCTACGGAAACAATTTCTTTGATATTAATCATAATCAACCATATAAATCCAATTTAAAGAAGTTTGATTCCTATTATGTGTATATTCAGATAATCCCAGCATATATGCTTTCAGTCTCTTTAAGAAATACTCACATGTTCACAACGTTTCAACCAATTAACCCCTCAACTAAAGCAAACTCCCACAAGAACAATACCCATTCTAATGAACATTCTCACATTCCACGTAAGCCCGAGCTTACAATTGAAGTCAACCGAAACCGGACATAACTTTCCCCCTTCGCATTAAATGTAGCTTTTGGTCATAACTGTACCTTGCTGTCGCTTGTTAGAACTAAACTTGTGTCTTGGCCGCTTATAAGCCGGCAGCTGTCAGTGAATCGACGTCTGGCAGAAACTTGAACTGAATCCATGAAGCTCCAGCCACAATACCCCTCCGTTTGCTTGGACAGATATTGCCCGACGGCCATAAAGAGCAGCCACCCTTAACTGGGACACGCCCAGGCAATTGCGTGGGTCAGGTGAACTGCAATTGGCAGGCAGGCTATGGGCCATGGAATCTATACAGCAAGGAGCAGCTGATACAACACAAGCTCCCGCCGAGAGCAATAAGGCGGCATTACGCATACGCCATGCGTGACAGCACTTTGTGATGCCGTTGTCGATGCGGCTGCTACTTCTTGGCAAATTGACACATGAAAACTAAAATTCTGTTAACTGTTCTCGCAGGTTGTGTTAATCTATTAAACTAACATACACATGTGTCCCTTTATAGCGAAAGAGCTCTCCTATCTTTAATATTATTTTATGCTTCTAATTGCACGCAGGGAGCCAGATTCTACATTGTAAAGAAAGTGTTTGGGATGATCACCCTCAGAGTTAGGATTCTAATATAAAAAGTCTAAATTGTTTCAATGAAAATTCAATACTATTCTTTTGATAAGATGTCTTTTTACTCCCTGAAAAATATTTATAGTATAAACTTTATACCAAATTATGGTCACATAGCCGATCAAGTGCCAATTTTGTTGCATAGTGTTATTAAACCCTTTTTACGGCCACTGTGGCAGTGAGTTAAGAATATTCCTTAAGGGAACGACAACAAAAGCCAAGTGGAGAAATATTTCCTCGTGTCACGTGCAGCGCCTAGCAAAACGCTGTGCTTCTTCGCACAGGATAAAGGATAACGTTTTGGCTGCTGGCTTTCGGACATTGTCAGGCGGAAACAACATTGTGTGTGGCCAGAAGCTTTACCCTTCATTTAACTCTGCTTGGCCTTGTATACGCTTAGTATTTTTATTATTTTCGTATGCCCAGAGATAGGGAAAGTCTGAGCTGTGGGTGACTCGGGGAAAGCAGAGTGCTGTCGTCTACTTATTTATGACATTTATGCAACATTATGTGTGCAGCACACGACTCTGTTGAGGCCCCACCCCGTTGATTTTTGAAAATTAATATATATGTGTCGGGCCAAGCCACAGCCGATTTAGTAGTGGTCGTCAGTGGGTTGTGTGTTTATGTTTATAAATATGTGAAAAGAGTGTTTGCTTGCGTTTCAATGAAGCCCCGGGGGATAGTTCATATGCATCAAAAGGGGGCAGCAGTTTTGTAGCCTGCTTTTAAGAGCAAACTTATTATGAAACTTTTAAAACTCTTCGTGTATTTCAGAAAGTAGAAATTTAAGAATCCAAAAGTTGGTGAAGAAAAGAGTTTGATCCGCCATTTGTCTTATTTTTAAATAGAAGAAAAGACTTTACATTGAATCAATATAAACATTCTGTACAACAGGGGTTCACTTCATGTTTTCATCCCTTTTCTTAAAATCAATAAACAATGCAAACAAAAAGAACATCTTAAAGAAAGAGATCTTGGTATTGCCAATCCTTTTACTGGCTTCCAATCACGTATAATCGTAAACCGGTTGGGCATTAAAAATAATAAAGTATTCAAATGGCAATCAATTGGCGTTTAAAACGAGAAGGAAGACCGGGACTAAACTAAAACCGACAACAAAATATAAAGGGGAAAACAAACGCGTTCAATGCCCACAACAAAGTACAAAAGTTGTCCCTTTTATGCCTCATAAAAGCCAACTTTAAGGGCGGGCATAAAGGGCAGCAGCTTCGACAAGGAGACCGGCTAAAGGGCAGGACGGAGCAGGCCAACCCTTTGGCCCGTTTGACCTTTTCAATCTGCGCACCAACACGCACAATAAACCGAAACACTTTTCGCAGTGAATCATTCGCCGGGGAACTGATTTGGGGACTGTCGCCACACTATATTGGATCCCTCGACCTGTCAATTAGTAGTGTGTGGCCGAGCACATAAATTTCAATTGTTTTGACATTAACCGACGAAATAATTAATCACACGAAATTAACTTGTCTGGTGCGTGCCACGGGTTGCCAGGTTCGTTTACCTTGGCTCAAATAAAGCTTCGTCTCCAAGATTTTTCCGACAATCATACTAGACAACACGGCTGTATACTTTATTATTTCTGGTTTCCCCCGAAAAGTTTCCAAGATAAAAGAAATTCGAGCGAAAACTCCGGCTAAAGTTTAATAGAAAAATATGTCAAGTGTCAGGACGGAAGATGGACTTATTCCTTTGGAGGCAAAATTAAATTAAACTTTGCGCTCAACAAAAAGGATTTGTTATTTGAATGCTTAACTTATTTGTGGCAGCCATAAAACAAAAGCCAAAGAGCCAACATTTTTGTATGCGGCGGGGATTTAACCAACAAATTCCGAACCGTGCAAAATGGCGTTGAAAAATGAAAATTGTTTTCCCAAAAATGCTGCCAAGTCCACGTGCAGAGCCTAATAAAACCAATTTGCCTCTGCCAGTGGAGAATAATGCTAAAAAAAATGAATAAGGTTTGTATGTAAACAAGCCTGGAAAATTCGGTTCACAATAAATAAAAGAAATTGTCTGAAATATGTTGAGTCCGCCTGGCACAACCGAAAACAATAAATTCAATTAACTTGCTCCTCTTGCCGTTTCCTTTCTCTTTTGGGAGGGTGTTTGTGTTCCACTCTGATGGCGAAACATTATCATGCCGTTATCCTTTTCGTTCTTTTACGCCCTCGACATAAAACTGAAAGCTTACTTAACGCCATTTTATGAGGAGCAAAAATGTTGTGAGAAAAAAAGCAAACAGAAACAAACAGAAAAAGCTACACAAAAGCAAATTAATTTGCTTAATTGTCAGATAACATTTTTGTCATATTTTTTCTTGCTTATTTCTGACGTTGCTTTTAAGGGCGTTGTTTGTTTATCAATTTAATTGTATTTAATTTTTTATGCTTACCTTCAAATTGGTTCCGTAATGAGTTTTGCATTTATTAGTATTTCAGAATAGGTATTTATTTGTAGATTTAATTTAATTCAAATTATTGTGAGCGGGTTTTATTTATCGCATATATTCGTTACGTATACGCACTGTTGAGCTGAACTAGCAAAGCCAATAAATAAATGAATGGCATGCCGATCCGCTTAACCAATAAATGTCAACATCATTTGTGTCGTTTCTGTTTTTAAATCCCCAAATATTTTGGCTTGGCCACTAAGCCCCAGCTTAAAGCTGTAGCTGTGTAATATTTTTTTGAATAATTTGCAAACGCTCGCTGGAGTTATGAACATATTTTTCATTTCTGCTTGCAGATGCCTGTCATCCATACGAGCCCTTCAAGTGCCCCGGCGATGGTAATTGCATTTCCATCCAATATTTATGCGATGGTGCACCCGATTGCTCCGACGGATACGACGAGGACATGCGTCTCTGCACGGCGGGTAAGTCATCATTCTACTCCTAGCCAATGGGGATCATGGATTTCAATTTGGCCAAGTTCCATTGATGTGCAGACTGCTGCGAAATGGGAATTTCGTAAAGAGGAACTTGGCACAAAATTCCCGGAAATTAGCCAGCATATTCAAGGCCAGAATTGAATTTTATTTGGCCAGGAGCAGCTCCTGCTGCACATTTTGCGCCAGCTGGCTGTTCACTGGCAACTAATCGAATTAGTCCAAGCTGCACATAAGTTTTTGAACTAAATCCAAGAAAGTTTCGCTCCCAGATCGCTGTTCGTCAACTGAGGTTTTTCGGCCAAGTTTCAAGTGGAAAGGAAATAAGCTCGCTGTCAAAAGCTGGCCAACGAAAGTTGTACAACAAATCCTATAAAAGTTTTGCCCAGATTTTTGGCTAGGCAACGCCTTTAACTATGAAAGATGAGAGATATTTTAGTCTTAATTATGTAAACTTGTTTCGATTTAGATTGTACATGAATCAACGTGGAACTTTTGGGCGGATGTTTGATACTATGTTTCATTTTGAATTAAATTATATTAAACTTAAATATGTAAATTGATCTTAATATCAAGAACCAGTTCTTAAAAAGTTTTAAATTAATGAGTTTTTAATTCAAAAATACTGTGTCCAAAATTGTAGAAAATTTATTAAGTCTAGAGATTAAACTAGAAGGAATCAAACAAATTTTTAGATAATTGTCATTGCATTTTCCTTTTTTCCCCCTATCTAGGCCACGTAATTGCAATCACCAAAGTAATTGCTATAAATTGAAGAGCAAAAGAAAATATTAAAAGAAAATATTTAATATATATAATCGATACATGATGCCATACCTACTTTATATATAAATAAAAATAAAACAGATGGCCAGAGTAATTGCAGTAAAAAGTTGTTTATATATACCCTAATTATGTCAGGGATGGCATGATAAATTGTAAAATTCGCCATGCGCACACACCGGTAGACAAAAGCCCCAAAAATTGGGCGGAAAACTTCACCTCATTTTATGGCAAAGAGAAGATTTCCCCCCGCTGAGCAAACCGAAAACGGAAAAGGCGAAACTTGAGGCCAAACTGCAAATTGTTGCTGCTAATTGCCAGCAATTCACTTGCCTGAAAGTTAAGATACAAGCCGACACAACTTTACTCTCGCCTCCCGGTCTCTATATAAACCCTCCCTCTCGTTTTCCTTATCGTATTCCCCCTTAGTTCCCGACACAATAGCATAAATTTACGCCGGTTTTCCGCCATTGTTCGGCTCGACGCAAAAAAACTATTTTTCGACAATGAAATCATTTAGGAAGTGTCGGCTGCCTTGGCGCTGGCTTAAGTTATTGCCTCAACCTCGGCGCTCTTTGATAAATTATTCGCCCAGTTTCTCGTTATTATACCCTCTGCCTCTTCCTTTATACTGCGACTCCTTCTTTTTTGGCAGCTAGGCAACAGTTGAAAGACAAAACGAACGCAATTTTGCTTGGGCATCACTTGTTTAATTACTGGGAGCCTTTATCCTCACAAAACTGTTTGAAAAATGTACTTTAATGAGTCGTTATTATTTTTTGATAATAGGTAATGCAAAAATAAGCAATAATTGCGTTAGGAAGCTTATAGACTCTTTGACATTAAACAGAAAAAACAAGAAAGGAAGCTAACTGCGGCACGCCATATTTTGTATACTATTGTAGTTTTCAATTTATTAACAATCTATACAAAACTAACATGAGATATATTAAATATATTAACTTGTACATAGCAAATAATTACTATTTAAAAATTTCAAAATTATTTTTTAAATCATATAAATAACCATGTTTTAGATGTGAAAAATGTAATATAATATAAATTTATAAAAACCTAATAAATATTACCTTTAAACTATATTTACCAATAGAAATATTTTCAGTTATGGTTTTACATTCACAGCTTTACATTTTTCTTTACATCTACTGATCATTCCCATGATAAATCATGTAGCTAGTCGTCCGATTTGCATAAAATTACAACCGAAATTCTATAATAATACAAAATGGCCATATTTCAAAGTAGATGAAAATATGTTAAAAGACAGGGAAGTTTCACCTTTTTTTTTTTAAATGTTCCATGTTGTTCTTATGAGAACTGTGCGATATGATATTGTCGTCCGATACGGCCCGTTCCGACATACATATATAGTAGTGAGAAGTAGTCAGAAGACTATTTGCAAAGGTTTATTCAGATAGCTTTAAAGGGACTAGCTTGCGTATAAACGGACAGACGGGCATGGCTATATCGAATAGGCTGTTGATGTTGATGAAGAATATAGAATATAGAATATAGAATATAGAATATAGAATATAGAATATAGAATATAGAGATAGAAAACATTTTCAAGAAACTTTATTTCAAACGATATTCACATCACCGAATTCCGAATAAATTAAAGCTTTAGAAAAACTTCACTGCACTTTTAAAAAAAAAAAAAACTTGAATTCATTACATGTCTCTCTATTGTGGAATGAAAATGATTAAATTAAAATTAAATTATTACTTCAGACATGAGTAAAAGTAAATGAAATGAAAGCGAAGTAAATGTTTGGTATTTTCACATTTCAGCAGAATTTTCATTACGTATGGAATTACCGAAAACATTTTATTAAAATTCAATTATTGGCTGGCAAAAATAAGAAAGAAAATAAATAGGAACGAGTTAAGTTGCAATAAAAAGTATTCGATAAACTTTTTAACGCGCTGCAGTCGAATGCCCTGGGGAAATTAACATATTTTTGCATACATTTTATCAGGCAAAAGCAGCGAAAAGAAAGTTGAAAAAATGTTAACCCATAGCCCTCGCTGGCAGGGCTCTCCGAGGCGAAATTGCCACATAGTCTTAATCTAAACTGCTGATATACATCGTCCGGAATATGTAACAAGTTAAAGGCAAACAACAGGCGACAATCCCCGTTCCCAGAGCTTTCCCAACATCCCAGCCCGCCATTTGAGGTTCGTCCCTCGACGTGGCTCACAATACAGAGAGAGCCAGAAGCTCATGTAACGAAAAAGCGACAATTTTTAGAAATTTGTTGCGATTAGGAAATACCATGAGTTTCAATTCAAATTAATTTATAGAAATTAAATATTTCTATCACAGCTAGTATTAATAATAATAATAATATTTCTGAAAATGAGTTTCTTTATCTAAAGCTACGAAAATATTACTAGATTATATGTTTCCCAATCCAAAAGAGTTCGATTCCCCTTTTAAGAGGTATAATGGTCACTTATCTTGAGTAAAGCCAACAGAAAAACGGACAACACCTCGCAAATACTGGGTATGAGAAGTAAAAAACGAAAGGAAGTAAAAAAAATAACGGGTTGCAAACGTCGCCATTTGCATAACAAATACAGTCAGTAACTGAATCAACACACACACACACATCCACATATGGGAAAGGAGACCCATCTAGTCCCGTGTCCTTGCAGCCATTAAAAATGCCAGCATATGTGGGTGGCTGGGTAAGGCTTAACAAGTGCAGTCAGTGGGTTAAAAAAGAGCCAAGCGCCACGTAAGGTCTGTCCTTTGTGCATGACTGGCTGAGAGACTGGGTGACTGACTACCTGACCGACTGGCTGACTGATCCATAAATGTTTGCCAGCGCCAAGAAAAACACAAACAAACGCAAAGGCGAATGCGAATAAATGGGGAAAAACTTTCTGAACAGGAGAATGAAAGCGAAATGAAAAATATATATTCCTTTATGCTCAGCTATTGCCTTGGGAAGTATATACATACCTAGAGGGAGTTTCCAGTCTGGGAGCTGCAATTTTACGGCGAATAATTTAAGTTTTTGCCCTAAGATACTTTCAGCAGCAATAAAATACATTATCTATTGAAATCCTTTCTTTTAATTCCTGAAAATATAATAACATTACTAAAGGATATTTACAAACTGCGTTTCATTGATTTGGTCAAACTTTTAATGTGTTTCTACGTAAATGTGATTTTTTATTGTCCCATAAATAGTTGAACACCTACAGCGTTGTCCAAATCTCTAAGGACCTTCCGCCCTTCAAAATAAACCCCTAAATAATTTATTCGAGAGGGGGAAGAATTTCATATGCACGCGTGCGTTAAAAGTTGAAAGTGTGGAAAGGGGGAAGTTGCCTTGATGAGCAACCAAAGTTCACTATTAATATTAATGGCTAGGAAATTGTCAGACGGTTATTCCGCCACGTCAGCAATAAAAAATTAATTAATGCCTTAATAAATATGTTCACATGGCTATTTCAATTTCTATGACTTGTAAGTGAAATGTATTGTTCATTTATTAATCACCGGCGGTTTATTGATTCCCAATTGTTTGCATGCTTAATGAACAATATTAATTTAAATCCAAATAAATTATGAATGCAAATGCATTAAGCTGGCTGTAATCACGGCCATCCGAAGTTTATTAATTACTTTTGCCGGGGCGTATCACTCAACCGAAACTTTATTTAATTGCGTGCGATAAAAATAATGTTTGTTTTATTAATTGCAGCCAAGCGGCCGCCGGTCGAGGAGACTGCATCCTTCCTCCAGAGCCTGATCGCCTCCCACGGACCCAATTACCTGGAGAAGCTTTTCGGTAGCAAGGCACGTGACGCCCTCTCCCCCCTGGGCGGAGTGGACAAGGTCGCCATCGCTCTGAGCGAGTCGCAAACGATTGAGGACTTTGGCGCTGCCCTCCATCTAATGAGGTGAGTGCCCCAAACCATTCGCATCCATTGCATCACAAATTGTGTGCACTGAGGGCGAAGGTGTAAAGGGCTGAAATGTAAAAATAATAACAATATTAAGTTGGCGATAGTTTTTTATTTTATAAAGCTAAATTGATTAAAATAAATGAAATAAATAAAATAAATAAAATAAATAAAATAAATAAAATAAATAAAATAAATAAAATAAATAAAATAAATAAAATAAATAAAATAAATAAAATAAATAAAATAAATAAAATAAATAAAATAAATAAAATACATAAAATAAATAAAATAAATAAAATAAATAAAATAAATAAAATAAATAAAATAAATAAAATAAATAAAATAAATAAAATAAATAAAATAAATAAAATAAATAAAATAAATAAAATAAATAAAATAAGTAAAATAAATAAAATAAATAAAATAAATAAAATAAATAAAATAAATAAAATAAATAAAATAAATAAAATAAATAAAATAAATAAAATAAATAAAATAAATAAAATAAATAAAATAAATAAAATAAATAAAATAAATAAAATAAATAAAATAAATAAAATAAATAAAATAAATAAAATAAATAAAATAAATAAAATAAATAAAATAAATAAAATAAATAAAATAAATAAAATAAATAAAATAAATAAAAGATTAATTATTATATTCTTAAAATATACCCAAAACTTCTTCTACCGATTTTCTACAAGTGCATTGCTCTGGGGTGCAATTTATTTGCGCTTGGGTTGGTACTTTGGCTGCCACAAAATCCTAAAGAGAAATTATTTACCCTCTTTGTCAGCTGCTTTTCGTGCAGAAAACATAATTTTAATCCAGGTTCTAGGATTATATAAATAATGAAAGCTCTTTAAGAAACTTGGCATTGCCCCAGGCTATTTTCACATTGTTGGGAAATCCTTTTATTCGGGCAAAACTACTTATAAAGAGAAAGTCCAAAGGCAAGCTGGCTCCTTTTCGCTAGCCCAGGTCCTCTGTCCTTGTCCTTGTCCTTGTCCCTTGAATTATCTCTGGATCTGCTTATGTGTGTGTGCCTTTCGAGTCCTTTTCTCTGCTCAGCTATTTTAGTAGCTGCAGGAACAATAACATTTGCTGCTGGGTTCAAGGCAAACAACCACACACAAACAACGTGTGCACAAAAAGTGTCATGAAATTTTAAAATATTTCATTCATATTTATCATATTTTCCTTCTTTTTCGGCTTTATTTTATGGAGAACTTCTTTATGGGCTTCTGAGCTCTTTTTCATAATATTTGTTTTGCTCGTCCTAAGCAAACAAAATATTTTTCTCTGCCTAATGAATTAAATTATTAAATGGGGGAAAATGAATGGAAACTTATGGGACATGATTTATAAGCAGCACACATATGTGTGTTTGGGATTTAAGCAACTGACTTAAATTGTGTTTTTAAGGTAAGCTTAAAAGGTATTTAACATTACAACAAAAATGGTTTACCAAGAAAACAAACTGCTGATGTGTAGAAATATTGAATATATGCGTTTACCTTGGTAAATTATAAAAATCAATACAAATATAAAATTAAAATTATCCTCAATATATTCTATAAAATAAAATAATTGACTAAATGTCTTTATCCTGTCGATAAGGCTATTCCAGACACACAAACACACGGATTTCAAGCTGCCTTAATTGCATTACTCCCTCCCGGCAGCCTCCAGGCAGCCTTCGCCGGCAACTTCCTCCTGCTACAATTTCCAAGATAAACAAAGGAACAAAATTAATTAACAAAAATAACAACAAGCTAACTGAACACAGACGAGGGGGCTGGCCAAATATAAACACACACCAACACACACACTTACAGGGCGTTGGGCGAAAAACATGAAAGAAAAATTTTCATTAAATTAGTACAACAAAAACTAACCACAAAAACGGGGCTGCAAGGTGAGTTGGAGTGGCAATAATAATAATCATAAAATTGTGGGCCATGCAGGCAGAGGATCTCAACATGCGGGACAGACAAAGGACACGAAAATATTTGCCTTCACGCACATGTTGATAAATTAGCAAAACACAAAAAAGAAGAAGTTCCGAGGGAAATGGGGCCCGGATAAAATGTTAGAGGGCGCTGTTTGTCTGGCCGAGCTGGAAATTTACACAATTTCATCAAGGCAATTAATCGCCCAAGTGTCATAATGTCATTCTACCCGGCTCAAGACTCTGTTCGGGTGACGGGAGACGGGACGGAATTGAATGGATGTACTCGAACCACAAGACACGCACAAATGTTATTAATGTGTATTTTGCACTCTTGCTTTCTCACCCCAGCTAAACAGAGAGAAAAACTGCAGTGCTTTCTGAATACTTTCGATATATACTTTTTTTTGGGTTGTAAACTTTAAAAGAACATTAAGACTTCCTCCCAATAAGATATATTTTCATTCTCAAAAAGATCATTACACTTCTATTAATTACTATTTATCAGATTTGTCCGATAATAAATGAACATTTTCAACTGTCGATTAATTAAAATTGCTCGGACAGAGAAAGTCCTTGTTGAGATCTTACATTAACGAAAATTTGGACTCATTGTTAAGTCTTTTTCGGGTCGACAAAATGAGCGCTGATTTCAGAAAGCCAACTAAAGAAAAAGGAAAATGGTTCATTCATTGAAGCACCCCTATGCTTCCGCTTTGCATCAAAATTTGGGGCTCAACAGCGTCTTTTTGTTCATATATATTACAGGACTTTAAAAGTTAAGAGTAAGAAAATACACCTCTAATGTATAAATTTAATTGTATCATTCATTATATAATTTTTTTTGGTTTAAAGCCTTTTTTTCTGTGCACCGTCCTTTCGTTTTTCCCACTCACTTTACTAATTATGCTGATGATAATGAAGTTTATCTAGCAGCCGCAACAAGCTGAAAAATATGTGGGTACTGAAAAGAGCGAAGTCGGGCGGTTTGGGGTCAAAGGACACCCCGGGATACCAGCCGCAAGAACAACAACAAAAGCAACAGCCCCACGTTACCTGCAGGGATTAATTAAGCAAAGCGTATAATTTGAGTCTCACAGCAGCAAAGCTACAACTTGTCCCGGTGTGTGTTTCTATGAGTGTGTCGATGTGGGTTTGGTCTCAGAGTTTGTGTTAAAGGAGCTTTGGCTTAATATTTGAGTTAACGGTGGACTAAATAATATGAAAACTAAAATAAAAATTATAACAAATAATTGTATAATCATTAATTACTATCGTGTAAATAGTTACATGACTATCTATACATTTTTTATAATTTAAAACCTATATTTTTCTATCTTATAAGTATAGAAAGTAAAAATTCAGCTACACTTTGCTTAATAATACTATTAGGGAAAGTTTCAAGAAGATAATTCAAAAACATACCACTGTTTTCGTGGATGTTTATTTTCCTTCATGGAACTATTGCCAGCTCAAAGCCACTTTGAGACTGCAGCTGGTTACCTCAGTCTTTCGAACTCACCCGGGGCTTTATTCATTTGGCAAAGAAAACTTTATTAAAGTTTGGCCATTACTCACAGCACACTCTGAAAATGAACCCAACTCATTCGGTTTTATTTCTGCATCTTATTCCACAGATCGGACTTGGAACACTTGCGCTCGGTTTTCATGGCGGTGGAAAACGGGGACCTCGGGATGCTGAAGTCACTGGGCATCAAGGACTCGGAGCTGGGCGATGTGAAGTTCTTCTTGGAGAAGCTGGTCAACACCGGCTTCCTCGACTGAGTAGCGCCAGATCCGGCTTCTGGATTTTATTACGCACACGCACAACCCATCAATCCTAATTTCTATTCGTATTTGGGCACGCCCTACGATAATTATAATTATTAAATGCGAATCTCACCGACACACACACGTACCTACACTCACCATTCCGTTACAGAAAACACATACGCCCCTGTCCAGCCATTTCAGCCAGAAGATATTTTCTCAAACTCTGTTTTTGAGTATGATTTTACCTTTTGCTTTCGAAACCCTCTTAGGAAACACTTATTTCCTTTATTTTCTGTTTCCGAACACTTTTATAAAAAACAAAAATCATGCTAACAAAACCGAAAAAAAATTGCAAAACACCACGAAAAAGCTACAAAAAAATATATAGGCGCGAAGATAACATAAATATGCAAGAAACCCAACATTTCGATCGCAAATCGGCTGCTCTCCATCAAAATATATCTCAAGCTTTCTCCCAACTTTCTGCGCTCTTTCCTAAACTTTCCTTATGTGTTGCGTTCCTATCGCGATCTATATTTATTTTGAGAAAATCAATGCGCAAATTTCAAAACATTGCAAAAACTTCATAAAAAAAATAAATAATAAAATATGGAAGCAGGATCGTTTGGCAAAATACAAAAAGGAAAGAAAAAAAACCAAAAAGTAAAAACAAAATTTTATCAATGTTTATATAACAACTTTTTCTGAAGCATATATATGTATACAGATATTAAACAATTTCTATTGATGTATATGTAAAGTGTTTCAAGGCTTCTTAGATCCGTCACTTAAGGTATTCACAACTAAAGTCCCTAAAATGAATGCAAAACCGCAACCGAGGCTATCAGTAAAGAACCTTCCAAACATTTTCCTATGTACTAACCTAGGTACTCTTTATCTTCTTTCGATATCCGTCTATGAATTGTATATTAATAATAGTATATTTGTTTTGTTTTCGTGAGTAAAATAAGCAAAAGCCCTGCAGGCTGCAGCTATTAATCTTTCCAGTAGAACCAAAAACGTTAAAAAATAAAATAAAAATAAGTGAATACGAATACACTAGATGCACGATATCATAGGATCAAAAGTATCCCTGTCGAGCTACTGTTCAGGAAAATAAAATGGCCCCGAGTTGCATAATTCACGAAATGTTTTGAATGTCTAAGGAAAAATATCTATCTCGATCATTCAGAGAGATTTCAAAATATATATATATATATATTCCAAGGAATTATTATAAAGCCTAACCTTAATTTGAATATAATACACAAAAACTTACTCAACTCTCAAAATAAATATTTCTTAGAAGGAAAAAAAAAACACACAAAAAGCAAGTTGTAACCAAAATGAGATTCTTACGTTTTGAGGGCCAGTTTTAACTTGCCAAAGAACTAAAACTGACCCAAACAATTTGGAATAACATCTAAGCAAACCCAAAAAACTGGCCCTTGAAACACAAAAACACACATCTTTCTAACACAAGTCTTAGCCTCTAATTCAAACATTTATCAAACGGAGCACGGAATTGTTGACCAGATAGCGTGACAAGTAACTAAATTGAGAAAAAATGTGAAAGCCCAACGTGGAAGGAAAATTCTTAAAATTAAACCGAAAATTTAATGGAGTTATAAGTACCTTGAATTAGCTGATAGATTATACAACAACTACAGCAAACTACAATTATTTATTTAGAAAAGAAAACGAACAAAAAAACTTTTTATCTACATAGTTGTCTATTTAAAATATATTTATGAATAACTGTTTATTCGAAAGACAAACTAAAACAAGTCAAGAGTAATATTAAACGAATGATAATGAACAGAAACTGATCCATTGAACTATATATATATGTATATGTATCTGACGAGTACGAGAGGATGTGAGGAACGCCCAGTGTAAATAGAGGAGAACAAACTACGAATTCCATAATCGATGCAAATGAATATGGACAAACCCAAATCGAGAAAAGAAAATATTACAAAAAAAAGTGATAATTTGTTTTTTGGGTTCATAAACTTTTACTCGCCTGTAAAATTTGAGATAATTTAAATATCAAGAAAATACCTAAAAATCAAACAAAAAAAATGTCCCCTTCTTTGTGAATATTTTTTTAAATATTATTATACAAAACCTATATACAAAGCATGAACATTTTTTAATCTTAAGCCACTGAACTTATATCGCATACATATCAGCAGAACTCTAGCTAAATAAGGAGAGAAACTGCAGAAAAGTTACAAGAACACGAGAATCTATCAAATACAAAATATATGCAACATATCAATTACCAAAAACATATCAAATATGAAGCGCGAAAGAACGTTGAATCAAAGAGAATCCCACTCTAGTAAGGTTAAGCGAATTAAATAAAAAATATATTTATGAGTAAACACACCAAAGGATATTTAAAAACGTTATACAACTCCTATTTATAAAGTTGAATTATCTATTTGTTTATGTTTTACTTTGAGTTCGACCATTGTTACTTGTTTCAGGGTTTTAATACCAAAACTGACCCATTGAACCGTTAAAATGCTGAAACAATTTCACAATGCAAACTACACATTTTTACGAATACAAATAAAAACAAACTTGCTAGGTAATATTATTAGTTATTTCCATAATGACCCCTTTTCGATTTACGTTGCTAAAGAAAAGAGAATAGAGCTATCAAAACCACCAGAACAAAATACACAAGAAATAGTTGAACTATATATTTAAATGACACTAGTAAACGAAACATATCAGTTACTGAACAAAAAACGTAGCAGACTAAATACTCCAGCAAACAAGAGACAAATTGCTCTTCAAAAATCATACAAAAAAATACTATACAAAATTATATGCAATACATTTAATGTTTAAAATAAATACAGATGAACAAATTCGAGTTTTATGAAGAAACCACACTAAAACGAAAACAAATCTATGTGTAAATGAATTACAATTAGAGTTGCAAAATAACCCATAGAAACAAGAGATGAAAACTAAATTAAATACAATTTTTAACATTCCAATGATGCTATTTCTTTGGTGTGCTGTTTTAAAAACAAAACAATTGTGTGCTTTAATGGGCGGAGAAATGGGTTTTTGTATTTAACATAGAGGAAGGTAAGTTACGGTTATATTACTGAAAACAAATAGGTAAAAGTAAATTGAATTCAATTTGTACTATGCATTAATTTTTTTTTTAGATCCTTAACTGAACAATTTTAATGCATACATATCAGTCTAATGAGTTCATTAATTAAAGGAATTTCAGACGGACGGGAGTACTAAGCTATCTCAGACCAAGTTATACACGAGCGATAAGATATATGCGTGTGTCTCGCTTGCACTCGCACCTAGAAATAACTTCCCCCTAATTACTTTCGCTGAGAGAGAGTGAGAGCGGAGATAGCACGCGCTCTCAGTGCAAATAAAAGCGTATGTTTTTATACCCTATATTCTTAGACTTGGGATGAGTAGGACTACGCCTTATAAATATGGAATATTTTCTGTTGGGAAATTTGACCTATTTTAACGCTTTTTCTAAGATTTAAATAGTTTCTTTGCCTTATAGGCTTAGAATTAATTTGTTTAAGGGAGGATATACATGTAAACCAACATTTTTTTGGCAATTTATTTTTTTGGTAAAAAATAGTTTATTATTTTTAGAATATAGTGTGTAAGTTTCATTATCGAATTCCAACTCTAAGTGCCTCAAATCAAGTATGCACGCAAGGTATACAAGTGTTAACGTGGGCGCATCAAAAAGTTTTTTTCTCAGCTTCTAATATTTGCATTTCTACCTATGCTATGGACACGATTCACAAAAAACTACATAACATATCGGAGTGAATCAAAAATTATTATGATCAGCATGAAATTATCTTCTATTTGAACCTACATGGTTGTTATTACTATTTTTTTAGAGGGTGCGAAGTGAAAACTGATCACCTAAAAATGGCATTTTTTCCTTCAAATCAAAATTTAATTTTTTTGTCTTGATTTCTTTTTGGTTTTTTAAGTTCAAATAGAAGATACAGGTGTAATGAATACAAAAAAATTTAGTTTACGGATTTTGGACAGGAATTACGAGCTCTATCGTGTCCATAGCACGGCAACTCAAAGCTCAAGGCGCTACGGCATATGTTCCATAGGTCCGCCATTTTGTAAAATATTGTTTATAACAAAATTTTTTTATTATCTCCGATTCCACTTTTAACTATCTCCAAAGTTCCGCGAAGATTGCTTGACTATTTCCTACATTAAAAAATTCACGAAAAATGTCTAAATTTTGACCATTTACATACATGTATGTATATCCCCGCCTTAACTGGGATCTCAGTTAAATATAATAAAAATATATTGTGGGAGTAGAAGATTTAACAAAGAAATTACCTTTAATTTAAATAGGTTTGGGTAAATGGGCATCATTACAAATAGAATATTTCAATAGATAAATTTAAAAAGGCAACATTTTAGTAATTTTATTTTTAATTGCATAAATTAACTTTAGTAATTAAATATTAAGGGGTATCCGCCAGTTAACAGTTTCCCCTCCAGACTTCCTACTTGTTATACTACTTTAAATTCTAATCAGCCTTTAGATTTGTTTGTTGTTTTTGATAGCCCCTGTAGTATTTGCTCTTGATTAGCTGAGAACGGGGAGTGTCGGTGAAAACTCCCGGCTCACCTTAGTCGTGTTTAAATCGGAAGCGCATGCGGTTGTTGGTGCCACCAGTTTTCGAGCCTCTATTATCGGTGCTGGCTCCAGGTGCAATCAAATTTCTCAAGTGCGACGGGTTAACCAATTTCGCAGATTGCATTTTGTGTATTTTACGTCTGTCTATTGCTGCAGAGACAACTGTAAGGAATTTATAGATTTCAGTGATATTTATTGCTGCCTGAGAGTATGCAACAGTGTTAAGTGCGATCTTGTGATCTAATCAGCTGCATAAATTCCGAACCAAAATAATGCACGATCCCAGCGATTATGATTCAGTGTACAGCGAAGAGGATTTTCTGGACACCGTTCGCGGAGCTGAAACTCCTCCGTTGATGAACTATGAGGAATTCCGCGTGAAGACGATGGGTGAGTGGTTTTTCGTCCACACCATGGCCAAATTATTTCTGCCTTATCTTGTGTTTGTTATGGGCTTTAAAACGCGGACCCATTTTTGATATGAGCCTCTTGATAAAGTGTCTCTGTGGGCGAAACTTTTTGCATATACAGTCGTTGCCAGCTAAGTAGAAAGACGACTCTGATGGTTGCATTTGTATTGATAGTAAGCTAAACAGACGCCTAATATATTCTTAAAAATATCATTCTTTAGTAAATAAAAGAATTTTCAAAATATATTTCCTATTTTCCGTAATAATATGTAAATGTCAAAAATCGAAAATAGCACCGTGCCAACTAATTAGAAAGATCTTAAGCTTGTATGACATTTTTTATATACACTTATTTTTTAACTATGTTGGCATACTATTATTGTAATAATGTATAATGTAATTTTTGACTGGTTTTAACCAACTTTTGTTACCAAGGGGCTTCCAAACCTGGCCAAGACTATGTCAAGTATGCTGACTATGTATAAACTCCCTTTTTTTTTTTTTTGTTAAACACCCATCCAAATCGCATAAATATTATATATTTCGGCACAAACTATAATTTAAAAAAAAAGCACGGTGCTATTTTTGATGTATTCATTAACATTTTTTTTCTTTTACAAAAAATAGGAAAGCAGATATTGGGCTATTACTGGCCCATAAAATCTTCGGTTTAGTATATCCCACTGTATTCTTTTAAAGGTTATTTAATCAGTTGGGAGACGCTCTTCTCAAGTTACTAGGTTCTGGTTACTATTGGCATCGGAGAACTCAGTGCATCCTGTCAGGGCCTCCTGTCAGGGCCTCCTCGCCCGTCTGGTCTCTAGGGACTTTTCCATGTCTTCCGCGGATTTTATAAAGCCCGGACCATTCGCATTTGTCTTTTTAAACTTTCCCCAGTTAAAAAAAAGATGAATATCAAGGAAGCAGAAAGAAATCCTAACAAAATGTTATTGTGTCCTTATTTATCAGAGATCTTTATAAATGACAGCTTACAAGAATTTCCTCATAAGCTTAACCTAATTTTTTGGGTTTCCGAATGATATTGGCATTTATAAATATATATATGTTTATATATAACAACAATGATTAAACTATTATTCATTTTATTAATATTTAATTAATAAATAATTTATTTTATTATAATTATGAATCACTTACACTACCGTCAAAAGGTTCCATTTTCTTCGACATTTTTAAATTTTTGTATGAGATAAAAAATAACAAAGCCTGTTATATGACCTTTTGTACCTTAATATAAAATAAAATAAAATAATGCAATTTCTTGAAATAATTTTAAATATGGGAATACAATTGTTGATATTTTCTAGTTAAATTAAACTCAGAAAAAAACAAGAAAGGAAGCTAACTTCGGCACGCCGAAGTTTGTATACCCTTGCAGATTGGTTTTCATATTTATGTCATAAATTATAATGCCGAAAACAGACACTAAACTGACCAAACATAAACATACCATTTTACCTATACTTATTATGTTTACAGTTTGACAGTTACAGTTATACATTCCCAGCTTTACATTTTCTCTACATCTGCGGATCGCTTCTATGGCTGCTATATGATATAGTTGTCCGACTTTCATAAAATGTATACCAAAATTCTATAATAATAATTAAAGCTCATATCTCAGAGTAGATGAAAATACGTTGAAAAACAACGAAGTTATAATTTTTTCTATTACTTTCCCTATCGTTCCTATGGCAGCTATAAGATATAGCCGTCCGATTTTCATAAAATTTTTATCAAAATTTTGAAATAATACCAGAAGCTCATGTGTCAAAGTAGATTAAAATACGTTGAAAAACAACGAAGTTATAATTTTTTTGATTAATTTCCCGATCGTTCCTAAGGCAGCTATAAGATATAGTGGTCCGATTTTCATAAAATTTATACCAAAATTCTGGAATAATATAAAAAGGCTATATCTCAAAAATGATGGAATAATATTGAAAAACAGCCAAGTTAAAATTTTTTTTCTACAAATTTATCGAACATTTGTATGGCAGCTATATGATATAGTCGTCCGATCCGACCCGTTCCGACATATATAGCAGTGAGAGTATATAGAAGACTATATGCAAAGTTTCATTCAGATAGCTTTAAAACTGAGGGACTAGTTTGCGTAGAAACGGACAGACGGACGGACAGACGGACAGACAGACAGACTGACATGGCTAGATCGACTCGGCTTTTGATGCTGATCAAGAATATATATACTTTATAGGGTCGGAAACGTCTCCTTCACTGCGTTGCAAACTTCTGACTGAAATTATAATACCCTGCAAGGGTATAAAAACTTCTAGTAGTAGTAAATTAATATTGACGCTTTCATATTGACGCATTAATACTGTTATTGTGGTTTTTCTATTTAAATTACGTACATATTTGTATATATTATTATATTATTGCATTTAATTGAGTACCCAAACCCCAAGTTTAATTGTTACCTAATTAGTTTATGTGCTTTATATTTTTTAAGAATATTAAATTATTGTCTATAACGGAACTAATTCAAATTGTGAAGTAGTAAAAATAAATAGACTTCGACTATTTAGCCTTTCCGCCAACTTTGACGTGAAAATAGTGAAGTTGTCAACAATAGTTGAAATGAGAGGCTCTCATTGGAGCGATAAGAGAAAAGCTGAGCGCCAAGCACGTGTTTCGTTTCCAGCTGTTCCTGTCGGCAAGATCAGCAGTGCTGCCAATATTACGGGTCTAAAAATAGCCAAATTGCTCTTGGAAAACTGAAAATAGATAAGAAAACTTGAAAATATTATTATCAACTAATATAAATTAATTAAATTATTTTCAATTTTGTGTAAGTTGTGTAATTTGTATAAACTAGTTTCAAAATTCAAGTTTAAATTCGCTTTAAATATCAGTCTCATAAGGAGCTTGCGAGGAAAAAGCTCAATTGGCAGCACAGTTGATTCGGCTGCGAGCAACGGGTGGTTTTGGAGCCATTCGAAAAAAAACTCACGATCGCGAACAACGTGTCGGAGCGTGCGCGGAGCTTCGTCGTTTGAGCCGAGAATAAATAAAAATAAAAGAGGCAGCGAAAGAAGCACAGCGCCGAAGGGCAAAGGTGGCTGGTAAAGTGTGTGTTTTAAAAGTGTATAAGTTTATGGCCTAAAAAGTGTTCATAATTCGATCACAAAGTGCAAAGAAAGTGGCTCCCAGGTTGAGCAGAAAATAATGAAAAGCATAAAAAAGCTGACGCGCTGCCAGCAAGTTCAAGGTGTATAGCTTGTGCGCGTGTGTATGTGTGTGCAACAAGTTGTTTACACTAAAGTGACTAAATAACAAACAAATCCAGTGGAAGTTTGTAGCGAAATGTTTTTACCGTGCAGCAGTTAATGTTTTGCCTTGGTTTTAATATCTTTTAACTCTTTTTTTCACCTAAAAACACACCCATACATATACAAACCTCTGACTGATTCTTGACTCACAAATTACCCACGACGCCGGCAGCGACGCCGACTGCGCAGCCGTGCGATCAACAAAACTGTTGTCTGTTCCCTTTGCCATATTCCATTTCTGGTTTTCGCTTTTCATGCCGCCTGTTCCATTTTTTCCAACGTTCCACCCCAGCCGGTGTTTGTTTTTTATAGAGAGCGAGAGAGTCTTAGAGAGCGAGAGAGCGCCACCTGTATCGTATCGCAGAGGAAATTGATAAAGAAAAACAAGAAAAAGCAAAAAAAAAGAAAACAATCAAAATAAGTAAACAACGCAGCTTGTTAAAACTTACAAATGGTGGGCAAACAAACAAGAAAACTCATTAAAAGCCAGCCGAAATGCTAACGGTAGTTTCGTGACTCTTTCTTTCTCTCAGATCCTCTCCTCCCAATTTTCATTGTTTATTTTGGTTGCTGCGCGTGCGTAAAGTTGGAATTTTGGTGGGAAAATCCACGCAAAACAAAAGGGGAAAAACCAACAGAAGAACTGCCAATTGCAGGTGTCAACTGAAGTTTTCGGCATTCTCCGATTACTATTCAGTTTTGTAGAATTTCTTGGCGCACCTTCAATTTCAGCATTTAACGCGAATCATTACGAAACGAAACGACAAACAAAACAAAAGGTGCGAAAGTGATAAATAAAATAACGTCATAATAAATACGGAATGTGATATCAGTGATATCAGTGTCATTCCACGAAGTTGATCAATCAAATCGAAATTAAAGTCGAGGCAAGCCGAGCAAATTGTGCTCCATGTGATTCAACAAGTTTTTAATTCGATTCATTACGACCTTGAAGAGCATAATTTTATATGATTGTGTTTGTATTGTGATTTTAACTTTTACCAAAACGAAGCGAATTCGCCATTGGGATTAGCGAGCCGGGGATACTACGAATATGGAACCCGGAATTTTAATTGGTAAGATTGGAATTGTTTTAAAAAATAATAATAATTAACATACCTAAATATATGGTTTATTCTTATTCGAAAAGCAAAATTTATTAATTTTGTTTTTTAAATTGTTTACAGAATAGTTACAAATAAGTTTTGTATAAGACTCCAAAATAATTGTCATTCATACTCAAGAAATGCGTATGCAAATCATAAATGCAATAATGGAATCGGCATTATTTTAAAGTGTAGTCCAAATTTCTTGTTTTTTTTTTAATAATTCCCAGACATGCTGAGTGATACACAATTAAAAAAAACCATTGATGATCCTAACTCAGCTCAGAAATTAACCCCATTGGGGGGAGCAGCAATCATTTTGAGAGCTCAAAACTCGTGCCCCCATTTCACATCTCTGAAATAATTTCCATGCTTTCTTCAGCTGCAATTCCGAATCGGAGACAAACAGGCGGCCACATGTTGCTCCCAGAAACATATGCCAACACTAAAAAAAAAACTTTAATGTAAGATCAGTGTAAGTGAAATAGCTCCCACTGATGAACAACTGAATAGTTGGAACTCTCTTGTCCCTTTGGCATGCCTTTGGCTCGAGCCCAAGG